CTTTGTCTTCATCTATTTCTCTCTCCCTGAATAATCTCATTGATTCCCACAACTTTTTACCACTGTCTGTATATTAATGATTCATTCCCAAATCAGTGTCTCTAGCTCTGACTTTGATGGACATCCACTATCTCCTCAAACTGAATTCAACACCCTTCCTTACTAACCTACTCCTTGCCCAGCTTTTCTGTTGCTGCTAAGAGCACTACATCACAGAACTGTTGTCAAATACAGTAGGCAGATTTGCTTCCTTTTCCCCCTTGATTATGTTTCTACTTTTGAATCCTATAATATTAATATTGATACATATATCTGTGCATGTGTGTGTGTTTAAACTGTCACATCTTCTTAGGAAAGAGACAAGTAAAATCACACTATCACTTTTTACATTATCATTATCCTAGTTCCCTAGACTTGAAAACTCAATGTCAGTCAAATTGCCAAGTGACACAAACTCTTCCCTTCGAGTATCTCTCATGTCTATCTCCTTTCTTCACTGCTATTATCATTTCCCTGGTTCAAATCCTTATTATCCCTTACATGGCAAACATCCTAGCTGGTGTCCCGGATGGCAGGGCAACTCTCTTCCTTCAAACCATCCCACACGTTCTACCAGATAAACCTCTTGAAACCTGAGCACTGGCCAAGTCAATCTACTGCTCAAATGTCTAATGTGCCCACATTCATGACTGAGATCATTATTAAAATCTCCCCAGTATTCAAAGCTTGCAATCCAGTACCCCCCCATACCCTCAACCAGCTTGTCTCCCACTAATTTCTTTCATATATTCTTACTCCTACACAGTCCCCAAACATTCCAGGACCTTAGCATGCCTTGCCCAAATAGCCCCCAGTTTACCCCCAGAGTCATAAGAACCTCTTTCCCAGATCAATATTGTAGGGGTGAACCATGCTGCTGATCCTCACCATCCTAGGCCTTCAGGATGGCCGAGGGATGGCTGTTGACAGGGGAGAGAACAGAGCTCACACACAGGCTGTGTGTCCACACACATGCAACTATGTATGGGAGCTGGACACAGGTTCTCCTCATACCACCTCATTCCAATGATCCAACTCCAAGGATTCCAAAAACCTTCCTTCCAGGAAATTATTTGTTATATGAGGTATATTTGTTAAGGAAGGGGCATAGAACATATTAATTTGTAACTTTTAAATATTTGGGCATTTGATATGTGCCTCCATTTGTTACTCTTGCCTGGACCCTGCCAGTGTCAAAGACAGGCCTGCTCCTAGGGAGCCTGCTTTCTCAACACACCAAACATCTACTGTTCTTTAACATCTTGCCTTTCTCAGACCTCAGTCACTGTGCAGTCTATTCCTTCTGTCTTATAATGTCTCAGTCTCCTTGGACTTCTAAAGACCTCTTCCTTCAAGAAGTTGAAAGATATAAACTGCCACCATTGTCTCCATTTTTTAATATTGTTCTGTAAGTACTGGCCAATATAATTAGAGAAAAGAATGAGAGATAGTGTATATGAATGAAGGAGGAAATTCACGGCTTTTTTTTTATGTTGTTTGAATGTATATCTGAAAAATCCAAGACAATCAAGTAAAAAGTGTTTTAAAATTGTAAGAGACTATTGTAAGGAAGATATTTATAAAAGTAATCTACAAAAATATCAATAGCTTCCCTCTATGTAAACAATACTGAAATAGAGCACAATAAAAAATAAATAAATAAAAAGATTTCATTTACAACACTAAAAAAAAAAAAGGTGAAATACCTGTGACAAAAAGATAAAATAAACTTCAAAGAACTACATACGGTACCCAAACCAAACTCACTGCCATCAAGTAGGATCCAACTCAAAGCGACCCTTCCTTGAGTTTCTAAGGCAGTATCACTATAGAAATAGATTGCCCACCCTTCCTTCTGAGGAATGGCTGGTGGGTTTGAACTGCCAGCCTTGTGGTTAGCAGTCAAATGCATTAGGCACTGCACCACTAGAGCTCCCATGTAGGATATATATCTGTAAAATTTAAAGAAAGCATTAAACCTCTATGGAGGAAAATCTTTAATAAGTGAAATACATACCTTAGTTTTAGAAAAGAAGATGCCATTATAAAGATGTCCATTTTCCCAAAGTTAACATATCAACTCAATGAAGTAGCATGCCAAATACAAGCAGGATTGTTTTTATTTTTGCAACTTGGTAAAATGATGCTAAAGTTCATCTGGAAAAATATACAGGTGAGAATGGCCAGAACATTTGCTATGCGATAATAAAATGAATTATACAGCTGTTATATTTAAATACTTGATCCTAGCTATAGAAGAGACTGCAAACAAAAAAAGAATCAGTGTGCCGTCGAGTCAGCCCTGACTCATAGCGACCCCTCCTTGGGTTTCCGAGGCAGTATCACTACGGAAGTAGGATTGCCCAACCTTCCTTCCGAGGAGTGGCTGGTGGGTTTGAACCGCCAGCCTTCTGGTTAGCAGTCAAGTGCTTTAGCCACTATGCTACCAGAGCTCCTAATAAAATGAATTATACAGCTGTTATATTTAAATACTTGATCCTAGCTATAGAAGAGACTGCAAAGAAAAAAGAATCAGAAATAGACCCAAATATTTATGGATGCTTTAGTATAGGATAAGGTTGGCATTTTAAATCAACAGAATCAGCAGAACAATGATTTCAACAGTAAATTGTACCAGGAAACTTGCCCAGCCACTTGAAGAAATAAAGGCAGATGGTTAACTCATTCCTTACATCAAAATTCAATTCCAGATGAATCAAAGAGTGTAATGTAAAAATGAAATCCAGAAAAGCTCTAGAAAAGAAAAAGAGATAATGTTTTAAATAATTTCAAACTGAGGAAGTTCTATCAAACCATCTCACAAAGATCAGAATTCAAAAAGGAAAAGATTGATAAAGCTAACATCATACCATTTAAAACTTGATGCATAGCACATTAGAAAGCTAAGAGACAAGTGACAAAGTAAGAAATAATTTGCAATACATGCATCAAAGGGCTGATTTCCTTAATAAAAGAGGAACTGTCTGATAGAAAATGTTGCAAAGGAAACAAACTAACAGTTTATTGAAAAGAAGATACACATGCTAAAATAAATGTTTGAAAAATGTTAAACCCTATTCATAATTTTTTAAAAACACACAAATCTAAAGGACAAAGGTTAAAAATATTTGCCTACCACATTGGCAAAGGTTTAAAATTTTCTAAAACTTTAGATAAGGGGGTAGGATAACCACCATTCTTTGTCATGTTGTTGGGAATGTAACTTGGCACAACTTTCTTGGAGGTCAGTTTGTCAATCTTCAAAAGAGAAAATGTCAATCCGTTTTGACCCAAATTCCACTTCTAATGATTTTTATCTTTTATCCATATGTATGTGGATATGTACTCCAGCATTACTCAATATCAGGGTAAAAAAGAAACTAAAATTGGAAATGTCCATTAAGAGAGAATTCATTATGACACAGCTATGAAAAGGGAATGCCAAGGAGCTTCTTCTGAAATACTTCTTAAGTGTAAAGATAAACAAGGTGCAAAACTGATCTCATTTATATTAAAAGTATGTGTGTGTGTGTGTGTGTGTGTAGTCATACTTGCTTACACTTGAGCACTTTCTGGAAGGATACTAAAATAATAAAACCTATTAACACTAGATACCATTAAGCAATGATAAAAAGGTTTTTTTTTGTTTGTTTGTTTATATTCTTTTGTCCTATTTGAAAATTTCACCAAGTGGATGTATTACTTTTATAATTAAAATGTTCCGTCTATAATTATGCCACCAGAACTCCCTAAAATTATTTAGCAAACTCCATATCACTTATTTAAAGAATTTCAAAGATCCCTAATTTCCACACTTCACCCCCACAGCCTACCCAGGTTGAGTTAGGGTACCAGTTACCAGTTGCTATAGAGTCAACTATGACTCGTGAAAGCCCTATGTGTGTCAGAGTAGACCTGTGATCATAGAACTTTCAATGGCTGATTTTTCAGAAGTAGATCACTAGGCCTAGATCGCTAGGGTGGAATCAAGCATGCAACCTTTTGGTTATCAGATGAGTATGATAACAGTTTGCACCAACCAGGCACTTCTGAGTTAGGGTAATCCTCCTCTTTCATAACACTACATACATTTAATTTTAACTATTTATATGTTTGTTTCTCCTACAACCTGTGAGCTCATTGAAGGCAGAAATGTATTTTATTTATCTTAGCATCACCCTCATTTAACATACCATCTGACACATTATAGATTCTTGATATATTTAATTAATGAACAGTCATGAATGAATAAAACTTGTTTCTACTATCAATATTCATTTCTCTCTCCCATAAAAAAAAAAAAAAGTGCCATCAAGTTGATTTCTACTCACAGCGACCCCTGTTGGGTTTCCAAGGCTATAAATCTTTACAGTAGATTGCATCTTTCTCCTGTGGAGAGGCTTGTGGGTTTGAACCACCAACCTTCTAGTTAAGAGTCAAATGCCTTATGCACTGCACCACCACAGGGCTTTCTCCCTCCCATAGCATTCTGTATGTTTCTCGTAGTAGTTGTATCACTCCCCCTTTTGGAATAGTTTTGTGTGTTGTCAACTAATAACACGAAGTGGGAGTTATCAACTCTTCCAGTAGACTAGCCAACAAGGGTAATGTCGTAACATGTCTCTATATCCCAGCACCAAATGCATTCTCTGGCCCTGAGTGGGGCTCAGAAATATTTGTTGAATTGATTTGAAACACTTCCATTGTTAACATGAAATAGGACCTGTCCTAGGAAAACACCATCATTTCCCCTACTCCAAAAAAGATATGAGCTCAGACTTTTCTTTTGTTTAGCATGGTTAATGGTAGCCTTTAATCATTAGGTATTTGAAGCCAAGTTCTTGTCATCGGGACTGGAACAAGAGTTAAGAACCTTTTTTAAGAGTATCTACTTATTTTAAGGCATATTACTTCTTTTTTACAACAGATGAGATAACAAAATGGCAAGAGGCAATCGAACCATGGTGACAGAATTTGTGCTTATGGGATTCACAGACCGTCCAGAGCTTCAGCTGCCCCTCTTTGTGGTATTTCTGGTAATTTATCTCATCACCCTGGTAGGAAACCTTGGCATGATCCTGCTCATCAAGGTGGATTCACGGCTCCACACCCCCATGTACTATTTCCTCAGCCACCTGGCATTCGTTGATTTCTGTTACTCCTCTTCTATTGGGCCCAAGATGCTGCAAAATTTATTAGTGAAGAGAAAAACCATCTCCTTTGCAGGCTGTTTTGCTCAGCTATACTTCTCCAGCGCTTTTGCCACTACCGAATGCTTCCTGTTAGCCACAATGGCCTATGACCGTTACATGGCTATCTGCAACCCCCTGATTTACACGGCTATTATGACTCAGCGGGTCTGCAGGGAGTTGGTGATAGGGGTCTATACCTATGGCTTCCTGAACTCCGTGATACAAACAGTTCTGACTTTCCAGTTGTCGTTCTGTGACTCCAACATCATCCACCACTTCTACTGTGCAGACCCCCCTCTCCTTGCCCTCTCCTGCTCTGATACTCACAACAAAGAAAAGCAGCTCTTGATCTTCTCTGCGGTGAATCTCACTGGCTCTCTCCTGACTGTCCTCATCTCCTACATCTGCATTCTCTATTCCGTTATCAAAATCCAGTCTTCAGAGGGCAAGTGCAAAGCATTTTCCACCTGTGCCTCTCACCTCACTGTGGTCATCATCTTCTATGGAACACTGTTTTTCATGTACCTATGGCAACCTAAAGTAGGAAATTCTTGGAAGTACAATATAGTAGTCTCTGTGTTTTATAGTCTTGTAATTCCTATGCTCAACCCCCTGATCTACAGCCTGAGGAACACAGAAGTAAAGGACACCCTGAAAAAAATGCTAGAGGGCAAAGAATCATAGTGAATGTGTTACCAGAACGTAGCATTATGAAAGTATGTTGTACTCAGGGTAGCCAATCTGATTGAAATTTAGCACACTATTTGCTATCCAATCAAGAAGCAAACAGTTAATACAATTAAGGTGTTTTAATGACCAAAAGAACTGGGCCACTTGCATAGTAATATTTTAATCCAATTATCATGGACTAAAAAGAATTTATTTAGGAGCTAGAATGTCAGTAACTATGTCCTTCATACACTGAACATGAAGTGGCTTGCTACCAATTAGATAATATGAGTTTTAAAATAAAAATATTCTGAAAAACAAGATTATAGGTGAAACCACAAATTTATGAATCTGGATACAAAACCCACACATGAAAATCTATGTTATTATTATTATTTTTGCAGCTTAAATATGCTATATTGTAGCAAGTCATTTGTTAGTCTTAGAACACATTTCCTTCATTAAAACATTGCTATAGATGGGAGCTCTGGTAGTATAGTGCCTAAGGCACCTGACTGCTAACCAGGAGGCTGGCGGTTCAAACCCACCAGCCACTCCTCGGAAGGAAGGTTGGGCAATCCTACTTCTGTAGTGTAACTGCCTCGGAAACCCAAGGAGGGGTCGCTATGAGTCGGGACCGACTCGACGGCAAATAACAATAACAACAACAATAGATAGTGATTAAATTTTAAGATCAGATCTCAAGAAGATTATTTAATCAAACATAGTTAAAACATTGTGTGCTTAAAATGAGCGGGAGAAAAAAATGCAGTTAAATGTGGGGTTTGGTTTTACTTTGTTTAGAAAAGTAAATTAGAAGAGTTTTTTGTTTTGTTTTGTTTTTTTTAAGGGAGGGGTCAGGAATTAGAGTTTAATTCTTCTAGTCTCTGGGAAGTACAGCTAGATGGATTTTTTTTTTTTCTTTTTCCTGGATCAAACATGAACTTTCGAGATGAAAATAGAAGTAAGGAGAAAAAGGAAGGGAAAAAAAGAGTTTTCTGAGGTTATTAGACCAGGATATGTAAGTTTCTGAGAAATGAAATTATTCTGTTTTAAATAATTTGAATGATCTAGATAAATAGTTGTCAACATTTCTATATTCTTTATTTCTGTTTTCACATATTTGATATTCCAATTTTCTTGTGGATAAATCTACATAAGTTCTTTCTTTTGGTGGGGAGAGGTAAAAGAAAAATCTCTTTAATATTTTTATTTATGCACTAAAATGAGAATGCTATAGTTTTTTCAAACTTCAACTATAATACTTCTTCTAAACTAATTCTTAAGAGGCAAGAATCTTCCATAAACCATTAGATTTTTGCCCTCAACTATTTATAAAATATGATTAATCATGTGATTTTGTTAAATGGCTAAGAAATATATCACCAATTGATTAAAAATAAACTCAAAAGGAATCAAGAAACTAAGGGGTCCCTGATGCCCATAAATAAAATCTTCAGATAGTATGATGGGATCCTCTTGGTACTTAAAATTTAGTAATTTAGGAAAATAACAATAGTTAGATACTTACAACTTAACTTAGCCCAGGAAAACTTTCTGGAGAATTGAGTTACAAATCATATTCTAAGCATTTAAAAGGAGCTCTGGTAGCATAGTGCCTATGACACTTGATAGCTAACCAGAAGGCTGGAGGTACAAACCCACCAGCCACTCCTCGGAAGGAAGGTTGGGCAATCTACTTCCATAGTGATACTGCCTCGGAAACCCAAGGAGGGGTCGCTATGAGTCAGGGCCGACTCGATGGCACATAACAACAACAACAAGCATTTAAAACAAACAAACACATTGCCATTGAGTTGATTATGATTAAAAAGAAAGATCCTAACAGGATAAAAGAATAGAATAAGGAAAGGGGTGAAGCAAGCCTTGGCAGTAGGGAAGGAAAGGAAGTCTGCCCAGGTAATGAACAAGAGGATAGTAAGCAAAATGGATAGGATAATGCTGAGGTAGAGTAGGAGACTGTGTATTAGACCTTGAGCTCCTGAAAACTATGTAGAATAGTTCTTCACTTTTAAACTCCAGCACCTACCATAGTTCCTGGCACAGAACAGACTCCCCACAACTGTTTGCTGAAATGATTTGAAGTCTTCTGTATTTATTCATAATTCCAAATGGATGGGTGGACATGGAGCCCAGTAATGGCTCGGAAGGGACAGTAGAAGGAAGACCCTGGAGTTATGACAGGAAGGCTATTTTCCAATATCCCGCCCAAAGAGGCTAACATCTGTAAGGAAGGGATATAAGGGAGGCAACAGCACAACCTTGCCAGGAAAAGAGATGCATTTAGGAAATTGGTGTATTGGGAAGATGGTAGTAGCTGGAGCTCTCAGTGGACCATTCTAGACAAGGGCCATTAGAATAAAAAGAGGTTGCTACTAATTGACCTGAGGAGATGAGCAGATTCTAATACTTAAACGGACAATTTAAGGCATACCCATTTCCTGAATATTTTTATCAAACTATTTTCATGTTATTTTAGTTTAGAAAGAGAGGGGAAAAAACAGTAAGTATATATCATATGTTTCAAAACATGCCTCTCAGCCAGTGAATTACACACATATTTTTAAAAGAAAATGCTCTATAGTATCTTAGAGTATGTTTCATCATTTTTTCTGCTTTTTTCAGAGAAAATTGAAGAAAACATGTCAATGAACCTCTCCACAATGCCTTCCCAGCCGTTGAATCTATGCATTTTACTCAATATTCATCCTTGATTCCCCTGCAAAGTAAAGCAGAAAGTTGAGAATATTGTGTTTATAAATTTTGAGGTCATTAAAACCATGTTTCCCTAAATTTTACAAAGACCTGAAAAGCAAAGAGTTAGATATGAAGAAGGATCTGAACCATCTGAATTTTGAGTTCATCTTTCCTTTTGTATGATAACTCCTTAGTCTTAAAAATTCATCTCCTGAATCTGGCTTTATAAAGTAGGAAAAGGCTTCAGGTGCAAAATTCTCCAATCAATTATTTACATTAAAAAAAAAATGTAGAGCACTATATACAGAAATGTAGAGCACTTTATACAGAAACAGGAGCTCTGGTAGCATAGTGCCTAAGGCACTTGACTGCAAACCAGAAGGCTGGTGGTTCAAACCCACCAGCCACTTCTCGCAAGGAAGGTTGGACAATCTACTTCCATAGTGATACTGTCTCAGCAACCCAAGGAGGAGTCGCTATGAGTCGGGTCTGACTTGATGGCACACAACAACAACAACAACATATACAGGAACAAAAATGCAACCCCTGCCATGGAGTAGGATCCAACTCATAGCGACCCCTCCTTGGGTTTCCAAGGCAGTATCACTAGGGAAGTAGATTGCCCAACCTGCCTTCCAAGGAGTGGCTGGTGGGTTTGAACCTCCAGCCTTCTGGTTTGCAGTCAAGTGCCTTAGGCACTAGGCCACCAGAGAGCACTATATACGTAAGTAAAAATTAAAATAATATTTAAGCTATAAGAGAAACATGAATGCACTTTACTCACTAACACAGTGAGGCTACTTCATTTGGTACACATAATAATTATACTCATTTTTCAGTCAACTGTAAACAAATAACATCTGAATATCCAAATGCTACCAAAATAAGGAAGTTTTTACCTTTACTAGATTTTGAGAATACAACATTTCATACAAGTGAAAATAAAATTATTCTCATGTGTAAATAAAACATGAATTCATTGTCCTCATGATAATCCTACACATTAAAGTTATTTGCTAGCATTCATCTCATTAAAATTTTCATTAACACAGTGGATAAGGAAATGAAATATGGCATGTGTACATGTACAAATTTATACAAATTTTCACATCAGATGCTGACTATTTCAATGAGCTTAGATTTAAATTCTTTATTTCTGCTCAGTTAATGCTCTGTTGAATTTGCCATGCTTGGAAACATGCCAAGGGGATTTTATTATTATTATTATTATTATTATGTTGATTATAATAAGGAAAGAGGAGAGAATAAATACTATTCTTTTCACTTTATTTTTCCATATTATTTAATATATAAGTATTTCAGGAACTTATGCACTTAAATATCTCAAATGTGTGTCCCAGACTTTTCAACTCTGACTGGGATGTGTAGTGTTAGCATGCTATAGGAGCAAGCGAGGATAGGAAAGTGTTAATTCGGTGCTTATGAATGGCTCTTGCCTGCATTTAAGTGGTGCATCCACCAGAGAGATAAGGAACAATGACGTCAGAACTTGGGGAGTTTAGGCTCCTGGGAAGGTGACAGATTTAGCCTACCCTTCCAAGCCAGGTTGCTGTGAAAATATAAACATTTTATAAGTAACTTATATCTCTGGAAAGATAAGACAAACTGGAAAAGGAAAAGGATCATCTTTAGTTTTTAAAATATCAAGTAATCTCTTTTAGGCTTATGCAGTGGCTTAACTGAGCCTGACAGAAGCAGTTTCCAGAAGGTTCTATTTGTGGCCCGAAAGAAAATACTCTTTTTATTTCCACAAACTTACTGTCTTTGCTTAAGTGTGTGGACTACTCTCACATCTGGACCCCTACCAACCTGCAGCTTCTGGTCCACCATATGGGTGACCCTGTTTCATGACCACTCTGGATGTAGTAAAGGAGCAGGAGTGGGCTAAGCTAGCCAGGCTGACGCACAACCTAGTCCATCACTGGGTGTCCCTCAGCTACATGGAATACTACATGACCACAGGTTTCTCATACTTGGACAAGAGTAGAGAGATCTCCTATATCCATCTCTGGGGTCCTCACAAAAGGGTTTTATTTCATTTTTATTGTCTTTCCCCTTAGAAAGAGCCACTTCTAACCCTCCTTCCTCTATCATCTCCTATTTTATCATAAGTAGTAGGTTTACCTACCTTACCCTTTGCCTTAGCAAAACTAGCAACTGCCTCTCCTTACAGATCTTTCAGTTAAGGGTTTAAACTCATTACAATGTTAATTATAATAGAGCAGTAAATTGAAAGGAAAATTTAATTAATGCTATATGTATTGGGGAGGGACAGT